CCTGCTCTAAATGACTTAAGGTGAGTCATATTTCAGTAACAATGAGGACTTCTTTATATTGGAGCAAGGGAGCTGCTTGAGCTAAATTAGTTAGTCTCTCATAAACTCGGTAAACTGTGTATTTCAAGGTATTTTGTTTTATCTTCCAAAGTGACTACTAGTTTGAGCAATAGTAGCTAAAACTAACTGCTTAAATTCACTTCTGATATGAAAAATGGAAAGATGCATCTAAATTTAATGTTGTTCAATGCAAGTCATTACAATTGTTGATGCTGTTTAAGGGAATTCACTTTTTTTCATCTACTTAACTGATTTCTGCAGCCTGGAAGTGTGTCTGTGTCTGTGTCTGTGTCTGTGTGTCTGTCTGTGTCTGTGTGTCTGTCTGTGTCTGTGTGTCTGTCTGTCTGTGTGTGTCACTTCCAGTCATTCCCAGTGTGGTAGGACTCTGTTTACCAGAATAAGTAATTATATGTCATCTTTCTGCCAAGTTATTGAACGAGACTCTTGTTCCTGTTAGCTTTGCCTATTGAATTCAGTGTAAGCAAAGATATTTTTTTATTTTATAAATTTAATTACTTTTTTTTTTTTTTTTTTTTTACTTGTCTATTATATGTTTTAGCTTTTAACAAAATAAATTAAAAAGAAAACGGATTTTGTAGCAGAGAAAATATTTAAAAAATGATCCATTCTGTTGGATTCAGAATCTTGGAAAAGAACGTGACTTGGACACTTGGAAATCCACAGCTCTGATTTCATTAAGATGTGCGTGTATTGCATCATGTGAATATGGCAGCACCCAAGAAGTTGGTTTATATACCATTAAGCGCATAGAATGCATTGAATAAAAGCGAACACTTGTTTCTCACACATTTGCTGAGACAGGTGTACAAACAGTAAATTATCTCTGACCAAGGCATGTTAATTTGTTAAGCTAAGACAAAAACATCCAAAACTAATGCACTCTCATGGCAATTTTACATTTTGGTGAATAGTTGGTCAATTCGTGTGAATAAATCTCACTTGTAGTTTTTCATACAATCTACTCCTGCTCCACTGAAGTTAAGGGTGCAGCTTCATGCCTTTTTTTTCTATAAATTGTATGTTTTTGAACAAATTCATATGAAAATTACCATTTTATAAAACTTCAGATTGTCCAAAACCCAACATGTTGGTCTCTTCAACATGAAATGTATAGCAATTGTAAAAAATATATTTAAATGCCTAATGCACAACTTCTGATCTACTGTTTTCGTTTTTTACCAATGTTTTATTGGAAATATTTACTTTACTATTAGATATGTAGCTGTTTAACACAATATCTGTCTGTCTGTATACATTTATGATTATTTATTATTTTGTTTTTGTTTTATTAGACAAATAAAAGCCCAAATAAATATTATAAATAATATCTTTATTAAACAATGTTATTGTTATTATTATTATTTATTTATTTTTTTTACTTTACTTTCTGAACTTCTTATCCTTTTTTGAATCAAGTTTTTTTTTTTTTTTTCTTTCAGAACAATTTTGCATACTTTTTACTATTGGACATGCAGCTCTTAACACAATTACTTGCGGTCATGTCGTTGGCCTTTTTCAGTTAGAAATATGTCATCCTTGAAAGTGTTTTTATCCATGAATGTGCTCATCCAAATGATGTGTTTTGGAGTTGATAATCATCACATTTTTGAATGAGCTATGTACTTATTTGAACTATGCACGATTGGTCACAATAAGTATGCATAATTTCAGGCTAAGCCAGGGTCAAAATAAGTACAATGACATCACGGCCTATTCTCACAGAGTTGTTAGGCCAGGAGAAATGTTTCAGGTGTGAGAGTTTGTGGTCAGTAGACCAACATGAACTGTTTGGTTCGAGAGGCACTGTTCCAGCACTGGCAGACGGTTGTGTAGCAGGAGCGTGTGACTTTACATAGGGGGGTTACTTGTGTGAACCAACAGCACTTCATCCAGCAGGCAGGGGAGCAATTGTGCTTTTCGTTCAAGTAGAAAGATTAAGGATTCTTTGTGCAGCCCTCCATGTCATTTAGCTGTTTTGTAATTTCTTCTAACCTCATTTGTATGGCCTTTAAATGATACGTTATGCCAAAACACAGCACACTTGGTCAATGTGGTGATGTTTCTATTGACTGTAAAATATCGAGGACTGATGAGGGAATTGTCATTTCTCAGGCACACACACATTAAAAGCCCTTCTAGGCGGTAGCGTTTCATACTTAAGCTGAAACACATACTGTAGGTTGTATTCCCTTTACCACAATTTGGCGATATATTGCAAGCCTTGACCGAACTGGATGAAAAGCTGCCTTAGAGCTCTATTTCATGGTCATTTTATATCCTTGAACATAAAGTGCACATCTGGATTTTTATTCAGCTGTTATTTGTGAAATGGGTTCAGATGTTTTATGCAGTTTCTTGGGATCGAGGCCTGTTATATTGCAAGCCTTGACCGAACTGGATGAAAAGCTGCCTTAGAGCTCTATTTCATGGTCATTTTATAAAGATATCCTTGAACATAAAGTGCACATCTGGATTTTTATTCAGCTGTTATTTGTGAAATGGGTTCAGATGTTTTATGCAGTTTCTTGGGATCGAGGCCTCTACGTCTTACTCGACTCATTCACCTTCATGTTGCAGTTCGCCATGGCGTCCGTTGACTTGTTGGCAGTCAATCTGTCCACAGATGAACAGGCAGTTTTTAAGGGTGATGATACTTTGAAAGCTGGAGTTGTTTTCTTTGGCTGTGTACTTTCTGTAGACAAACTCTGGCCAGTACACGTTTTTGAATCTGGCTTTGTTCAGATGCTATTGCAGTGAGTTTGCGTCTTTCTGTCATGCTGACTGAAAAAAAACAAAGACTTCTTGTTATTGGTCATACTTGCTTGTGGGGGCTTTTATATTGCTAATGTTGAAGCCCCCATTAGGACATATTTGAGAGATGAGAAGTGACTGTTAAAGGTATAGATCAACCAAAAAAAAAAAAAAAAGGGCATTTACAAACCAACTGGTTTCTGTAGAACACAAAAGGAGACATTTAGCAGTATATCCAAGCTCCTCTCTTCCATTTACTGTATATTTTTAGTTAATTATATTTTTATTATATTCATATTTTTAATAATACCCATTTTTGTGTTATAGCTTGATGCTATAAAAAGCTAATATATATACTTTAATTTAAAATATATCTCTGACATATATAAAAATGTATCTATTTATATTTTTAAAAATTATATTGCAAATTTTTTAGTAAATATATTGTAGTTTGGAGTTCCATTTCTATTTATATACTATACCTTAAAATACAATGCTATTTAATCTGTTTAATTATAAATCACATTTATTGTATTTATTTATAATTAAATTTATTTATTTTTTATATATATTTTTATTTATTTATTTAGTTGAATTGACATTTTAAAGATTATTTTAAGCTTTAAGCTAATAGCTTGCCATTACTCTCTGTACTTCTGTGTAGTTGCCAGAAATTATGGTGGACAAGATATTGTGACAGGCTTCGTTACTTTTTGCTGACCCTTTGGTAGCATTAATCTTATCATAAAAGTGGCATGCAGGGCACACAGTAGGTTTTCATAAGCCTCACATTGTACAAATTGGTACGGAATTGCAACTATTTGAAAACACATTTTCTCGTAAGATCAGGTTGTTTTTTCAACCCAAATGCTGGGTTGAGACTGCTGGGTAAGGACGTTAAAATGTAAAGTCATCATTCATTGTTTGAGTCTGGTAGTACCTTGAGATTTCATGGAAGTAATCTAAAAAGAGCTTATATTGAAAAATACGCGGATGCGGATTTCGCCTCAGAAATAGTCTTAACAGCTCTTTTACTGAACGGAAGAGGTGCTTTTAATATAATGTCAGTGAGTGTCTTATGTCATATTTACATAAGATTTTACAATATTTACATTTTTTGAGGTGTTAAGAGAGGGTTATTAACATATTTACATGTTAATTCGTCATATTTTTTTTTCGCGGTTAAATTGAATGTAGTTTCCTAAAGGAATGGTGTTATGTAATAAAGACTAGCCTAATTATTTTGAGGCTGATGAAGTGATAATTGTTAAAAGTAATGTATCAATTTTATTTTTTTACTAAGAGTAAAATAATGTCTGTTTTTGTAGATGTTGAAAGCCAGAGGCATAGGAGAGAATCATTCTTTTTAGAAAATAAATGTTTCCATTGTCTCCTGCCTGTTTACCTCACATTTTGATGCAACAACAGTATGATTAAGTGTTCAATATTTTATGTAAACCATTGATGTCTGTGTTTTTCATTACAGACCTCAAACCAACTTTGAAGTTGTCTGATTTGGAGAGTCATCATTCTTGGTCTTCCTTTCTTAAAGGAATAGTTCACACACAAAAAAATTTT